GCTGAGCCCAGACTTGACCAGTTGACCCAACCCCAGATCATATCCCGGCCTCCAGAGGCTTGAGCAGTGAGCACTATGCATGATGGGTGAATCTCGTTTTGGGTGTCCTTTCTTACCCTGACATGCCCATCACTCTGGAAAAGGGTAAATATGGACGCATTAGACCACATGACCTTTTTGCATTGTTTCTCAGTCCAATCTTTATGCTTCCTTGCAAATTGAAGTCAAAGTCATTTTTTCCCCATTAAGCCGTACTAACATATGGCTTTCTTGTGGTCATGCTGCTGTTGAGACCCATTTCTCCAAGTTCTTGTCGCATTGTGAGTGTCAGAATGCTTTGACTTTCACAATTAAACATAGCCTTGAGTTCTACTGTTCATTTTTTATGATGAGACTTCACCAAGTATTTTAGTGATCTCTGATCACCATCATTCATGATGTTTATCCTGCCCATTTCATGCATGAAGTTGACAGTTCACCATTATCCTTTCAGCTTCTAAGAAATTATAGGACAGTGTGTGACCCAATTTGAGTGATTTTAGCATTTTCTTTGCTTGATGCTGGCCAATAATTTGCCCCTCTTGAAGAACAGTAACATCTTTTCAACAGCCATGAGATACGTCTTCTGACATGGTTGTGTAAGAAATGAGAAGCTACACATCGGTCAAGATTTAAAAAATTATTTTCAGCTGAAACACATTCATCACGACTACAATGATTCAATCACAGGCTCTTTAGTATTTGTTGCTTATTTAAATCGAAACGGCGACTTTTTTTTTTTTTTTTTTTTTGGCCGACAAGTGTAGTTCCTCTGTAAAACTGAAGCTAATGCTGCTCTTGATCGTTTTTAGAAATTCAACACTGACCCCTGCTGGCTCGAAATAATAATTTTAGAATTCCAGAATAGTAAAATGGAAAGTTGATCATCGAAATGTAAAGGCTAATTGTTTATCATCAATAGCCTGAATGGCTCACAGTTTTACAAGTGAAGAAACCGTGGAGCTGATCAGACTTTTTGGACTATTAATTTTCCTTCAATACCAGAGTGACTTTTAAGATCAAATTTGGCAGGTATTGAGGGGTGTAACATTGCATGTGGTTCATCTTATCTGAAATCACAAAATTTGGACCAGAAGCAAAAACAAACAAAATAATTAAAAATGACCATTCCTCTCACATACAAAATAAATCAGTATCATTTGCATGGCTGATTTTTAATGGATCCATAGGATGGAAAATACTTTTTCACAGTTCAGTCCACCTATACAGTGGTCTCAACCAAACAACCCAGAAAAGGTTGACTTTGAAGATCCCCACCCCTGATTTAGTGGGAAGGTCCCGCTTTTCCTCTCACGCATTTCAAACATGCAGTTTTAAATTTCTGCTGTTTACTCAGTCGTATACAGACCGACTATGCACACAAGGAAGCCAAAAACATACAAACTACAAAGGCTCTCTGGAAAATCTATAAAGGTTTGCAACTAGCTTTGTGCAGCAGTTGCAGTGTTGATCTAAAAACATTGTGATTCCTGACCAAAAGTTGTTCAAATTTTTTACTCATGTTTTCATGCTCAAAGGTTTATGTAATACCCCTGTCACACCAGAGTTGTGTTCTCACGGAGTTTGTGTGGCGTTCACAAAAATTGTAGAACGCCAGGGTGAGCGCAGTGGGATCACCTAGAGCACAGCGGCATCTCTGTGGCATCTCCATTAAATGCCGTGGAGTCTCCTAGAACGCAGAGCCATGGAGTTTGTTTTGTGCATGCATAATATGCATAATATAGTCAATAAATACTGGGCTGAAAATGTTATTCATCATATTTTAATCTTTCATAAAGTATATCTATAAGTTTACTTGCAATATGCTTTAAAGTATACTTTCATGCACTAAAAATTTTGAATTAAGTAAACCAGAAGTGTACTCAAAGTTTACCACTCTTCCGCTTGAAGTATACTTTAAAGTCAGTGGCGACTGGTGAACTGGCGATAGAGGAGGCTCAAACCCATCCTTTGAAAATAATGATTGGTCATGACCTGTTTTCAATCATTAATTTATATTACCATTACAAAAGCTCCGAAAACTGTCAACATTAGCAGGTGTGGCCATTTTTCACCACTGCTTAAAATATACTTTTATAATTTGAGAGATATGCTTGAAGTTCACAAATAAAATGAATTCGGAGTACTCTTCTTTGTTGTAAAGGCGGCGCAGAAGGCATGTCTAATGTCAGAAATGGTTGAGGATTGGGCTGTTGAATTCAGGAAGTGATTGAATATTAAACTGCTGAAACCCTGCCCCCAATTCTCATTGGTTGATGTTTGACCCCTCATAACTATTCAACTCACTCGGAACTTCTCGGCAGATTCCGCTACCCTTCATCAAGCCTCGGATGTGTGACAGAAAGTTGTTATGTTGCTCCGCCTGACATTTCTTTGCCGGGAGACCGATTTACGCAGTTGTCTAAATCCACACACTACATCGCCACCTAAAAATGGTGGCAAAACTGATCTTCACAAAAGGCAACACAATATTTTCACCAATTTGACATCGAACCCAGCACTGCTGCCACTGGACACCGCCATGTCTATCCAGAAAAAAAAAAGTTCAGGCTAATGGTTTCCGCAGTCACACATCCGAGGTTTGATGAGGAACGAATCGGCCGAGGTTTGCCAAGTACTATTGAACTGTGCGTTGGGTTTGGATTTTATTTACTCCGGAAGGGGTCACATGTTTATCGTTGTAGCCATGCCCCTTTACCTGATTGGCTTTTGGGCTCTCCTTTGCAACTATTGATCTGTGTGTCACCAAGATTAGGGGGTTGGGTTGTTGGACTCAAGATTGGGTCACCTGCTAATTGATGTTGCCCCACCTTGTGGCAGTCAGTAAACTTTTACCCTTGACTGTTTGTTGTGGAGAGTAAGGAATTGGGTTGTTTGAAACGTTAGCATCATTCTAAGAGCAGTTAAAGAGAATCACTTTGAGTTTGTTCACAGACTTTACATTTTTGTTCAAACGCTGCCATTTTCTAGGCTATTGGCTCCAATAAGCAAGACTAATATTTTGTGTGGCTGTTACCTTCAGCCATGAGTGAACTACCCTCTCCTCAATTGAGATGCAAACTGGGCGGCTTTCACTGCTTCAGAATGCACCATGACATGTCTGACCTAAATGGGCGGTGGAGCTCATTTCGATACCTGAACAAAGATTGGGTTCTGAAATATCACGTCCAGTGTGATGAACTTTGATTGCATATTCAGAGGTAAAGATAAGAGCAATGACAAGATTTGCATTTGAATACACTTCTTTAGTTGGAAAATTCATCACCATGACAATTGTCCAGCCTTTTTTAATATATTGAAAATTTCTGAATAGCGCGTCAGACAGGAGAATGGACCACTGAGCACAGTCTGAAGGGATAGCCGACCATTGTGGGCTTTTTTTCTCCTTGATGAATGAGAAGGTAAAATCCCTCTCAGCTTGATACCGATGGAGAGGACAGCACAATGAATGATGACTTTGTTCATTTCAATAAATGACCAAAAATTATTCAATTTTAACTGTTCTGAATCCTTTGCATAAAATATGCCGTATTTCTCAGATATTAACATTAAGAAAGGGTAAATACTGTTCGACCTTGGCTATTAATAAAAACTCAAAGGCACTCAAAGAGTGCATGTATGTATCAACACATTTAGAACTTTACTACCATCTAGTGGATTTTTAGTAGCATGGCATGATGAATCCTTTAAAAAAAAATTCCTGCATGAAGATGGCGATCCAGATGACGACCAAAATTCAATGGATTGCTCCTTGGTCCATTGCTCATATTTCAACAAAATATTATTGAAATTGATTACGAAATTTGAAAAAGGTATTGTCTGGACAAGCACACAAACAGATAAACAAACTACTATGACCAAAAATTTGCGACAAAAACTTCTTTTGCATTCAGTTAAAGAAAGAAACTTTGCGTTTCCTCAAGATCTGACCAGCAGGGACTCTAAGGAGAGGAAATAATGAAATGTGGTATAGCGAGCTCAGTCTACTGATTTAAACCCCATAGAGCTGTAATGGGATCATCTGGATCATAAAGTTTGCAAAGTGTGCCCATTTTCACTGACTCACTTATGTGACATATTGCAGTCGATGTGTAAATCCATTGACAATTATACTCAAAGTTAAAATCCTGAATGCCTAGAATTTTAGAAGTGATTAAATCTCACAGACACTTTAATAGCTGTTATTTAACATTTGGAAACTTTTTTTTTTTTGCTCCCAAATATTTGGAATTCTTAATAAAAAATAGATTTTGGTATTTGTTTCATATAATTTATAATTATTTAAACACTTAACTGAGTGAAATAGCAAGAGCTTTTTAAATAGCAACGGCTACTTAAATGACATGTAATTCCATACTTTGGAGCAGTAGTGCACATAGTGACACACACACACACACACACAAAAACACACATGCATACTGGCACAAAATGACACACAACCACTTGCACATGCGCACACACACACACACACACTGTAGCTAAAGCAGAAACAGACACACACACATGCGCGCGCACACACGCTGTAGCTAAAGCAGGAACAGACAGACAGACACACACACACACACACACACACACACACGCGCACACATAAAGAGGAGCTAAAGTGGGAACAGACTTCCTGGTGCTAATTTCCTGGTGCTGTAACTCAACAGATTTTCTTTCCTGATGTATGCATGCATTACCATCTCTAGCTTTGCATAATGCAATTATTAGGCTAGACCGAAAGATGAGGATAAACCTTCATTGAGTGTGATTTCATTCAATGGTCATTCACAAAGAACAATTCACTCCTGTTTAAATTTACATTAAGTACAGGAATTTTGTTAGTAAGGCTAGTGTATGCAGACATGTCTAAGACAGAAAGGAGTATGTTCTGCTCAAAGGGGAGCTTTGCTTATTTTCAGGGCTTGCTAGTTAATATCCAGTGCTCTGATTTTTGGGGCGGCATGGCTCAGGAGGTAGAGCGGGTGGGCTAGGATCAGAGGGTTCCTGGTTCGATCCCCGGCTCCTCCACAGAATATATCAAAGTGTCCTTGAGCAAGACACTGAACCCCACACTGCTCCTGATGTGCAGGGTGGCGCCTTGTATGGCAGCCTCTGCCATCAGGGTGAATGTGAGGCATAAATGTAAAGCGCTTTGGGGTCATCTCAAGTGACTAGAAAGCGTTATATAAATGCAGTCCATTTACAATTTACCATTCTGATTACAGTACAGACAAATCTTCAGTTACCAGGGCTAACAACACATAGAGTACGGGACACCAGTGGGTATGTTCAATGTACTTAGTACATCATAAATGGTATCAATGGGGCTCATTCAGCATTATAGTCTGCTATATTAACATGTGGGCTCACAGTTCTGCAGCATATCTGTCACATCAACTATCAAGTGATGTTGCATCAGTAGACAATGTTCAAGTCCCCTCACCAGGCCAATATCCATGTGTAACTCAACTCTTTAAGAACTGACAGGTGGTTGTTAGTTTGCTTTCTTATTCAGAATGCAGAGGCCAAAATTCCACAACCAGCCACATTACTTTTAAATAGATCAGTTAGCACAAACAGACACCTGAATAGATCAAACAGCACAATAGCATGTCTCCTGTCTGCAGCACGGGGGCAGGGATGTCTGGGTAATGTCTGGCTATCTGACTCCCTGCTGACCAGCAGGCAACAGCAATTGTGTGTGTGTGTGTGTGTGTGTGTGTGTGCGTGCGCGAGAGACTATGAGTGTGCGTGTGTGTGTGTGTGTGCCCGCATGTGTTTGTGTGTTTCAATGTGTAAAAGTGTGTGTGTCTGTGTGTGTTTATACATATGTTTGTGTACTGTCTGAGATAATTTATACATGTAAAGGAATCACTCAGAATATTTTGGGAGATTTGTTTGAAGCCATCATCTCTTACTGTAGTTATTCAGCCAATCGGCAGAGAGGACACAGCTGTTTTGTGAAAGTATGAACGTGTCTGGAGTTGGGGGAAAGAGTATGTTGCACGAGAACACAGAAGTCCAGAGTGTATTTGTGCTCATATGTTCTCATTCTGAGTTGCACAGTACAGGAAGGCTCTTTAAACAGCTTGTTTTGCTTCGATTTTCACTGTGACTGGTCCTGGGCTGAGACAGTAATCAAAAGCTTTTCCTGCCTGTTGTAGTTTTAGCTTGAGATCCCTCTCCAACTCTCACTGTTTTACAGGAGTAAATAAACTGAGCAACACAAGAATATGCTCTCCCTTGACCAAACAGCATAATTGTGATGATAGTATAGAGAAAGACTATAATGCATCCAAAAGCCAGGCAGCACTAGCTAATTCATTTGCGCATTTCTGAAGAAATCCATGCCAGTAAACTCACAGAGCATCAAAAAGCCTTGGCTAAGCTGAGACCTCTAAAACAGTTATACAGCTCATTACTCAGAGCTTCGAAAAAACAGCTTTTAAAATATTTCTGGATGAAGGCTTGTTATAGCTTTCATGCTACCAAACAAACTGCATACAGTATAATCCCAGTCAGCGAGAATGGCAGTTGCAACCGTGAATGTACACTCAGCAGAATATTAGCAGTGCCCAATAGCAGGCAGACTGAATTAAAATGGATATGCATTAAATAGATGGCCACAGCACATTATGCCCAAGAGACCATCATGAAATATGTACTGACCAAAAAAAGAAACGCAATTACGTAATCCGGTGCCAAATTTCGACAAACCCATTGAGAAAGATGCTTTTGCTCTGAGTCATTTTGGGAGGTGAGTACTTCTATCATACAAATATTCCTCGTCACAGCGCGTATTCTGGAGCCGCCATTCGTCCAGAACCAAACAATCGGCAGTGCTTGGGTTCGAGTAATACCATTGTCCTAACACTCCCACATTTGTTTTGAGTTCCTCGTAGACACCTGGGCCTATAAAAGTCCGACCGAAAATGAGGAAAAATCAGAAGGGTTATAATGCCAGGACTAATGGAAGTTCAACGAGAACGCGCGATTGGGATGCTACAGGCCGGAAGTCGGGTAGATAGGGTTGCCTGTCAATTTGGCGTTCATTTTGCGTCAATTAGTCGCCTCAGAACCAGGTTTAATGCCACTGGACACACGGCCGATCGCCCCAGATCCAATAGGCCACGTGTTACGACTCCAGCATCTGACCGTCGTATTATGACCAACCGTCTGCTACACACCAAACCAACCTTCATTTTGTTGAAGGAAACCTCAACGCCGTCCGTTACCGTGATGAAATTCTCCGTCCAGTCGTCCTTCCGTTTGTCCGACATCACCGACTAACTTTCCAACAGGACAACAAGCGTCCGCGCATGGCACGTATCTGTATGGAGTTCCCTTGGGCTGAAAACATGCAAATCATTCCCTGGCCAGCGTTTTCTCCAGATCTTTCACCTATAGAACACTTGTGGGACATTCTGGATGGAGCGATCCGGAGACATCAACCACCGCCAGCTACAGTACGTCAGCTAAGACAAGCACTGACCGAAGAGTGGAACAGCGTTCCATAAGCAACAATCAGACGTCTGGTGATGTCTATGAGGCGCAGGTGTACCGCCGTGTGCGACGCTAACGGGGGACGTATGAGATACTGATAGTGTCATTTATGTTTTGTAATGTCGAACTTCATCCGGTTAAATAAAAGCCAATACGGCAATATTTCGACACGATTTTCTGTTATATCTATTGTTTAAGATTCGCTCTTTCATTTGATACCAATGAAGTGTTAATTAATAATAGTTACACTCGATAAAATCAAGAAATAGAAAATTGTGTTTCTTTTTTTGGTCAGAATATATCAATGGAATATGCTGAGATACTATATTGCTGTACAATATTTCAAAAAGATTGGAAAAGTTGATTCAGCACTAGTCTATATCACAATTATCTGGGCTACAGAGAGCTGTGATCTAGTTCCCCATGATAATAACTCTTGTATAGGCTAGTATATAATTAAGGTGATGGGAGATCCACTTGCCCTCTGCCCACTATCTACACACAGACTGTGGACCAAATGGAGCACGCAGTATACCATGTGCAGCTAAAATGAAATTTACTAGCGTGCAAAAGATTCCCAGATGACTCAGGCTAAATTTCACAGAATACAGCCACCGCAATACACAAGCAAGCTATTAAGATCACGGAGACTCAGATGATCTTTGTAGCTTGGTATTCATGAGCCCTGAGTAGTACATGACATGGTTACTGTCACATACTGGCTAATACAATATGAAAAGTAGCTGGTAGTATCCACCTTATGCTGGCAAAGTATGCAGAACTAAGTAGGTACTTGATTCCTAAAATGTGTGATTCCATGCCTGTGCTCCTGTCTTGTGTAGGCGAGTCAGCCCGCAGAGTAAAAATACCCTCTTCTCCATCGTTTGCTGCGGAGAATGGGTGCGGGCTCTGAAACTGGAGCTTCTGATGAGGGAGGTTTGAAATGCACTGAGGGAAAACACCATTGATGTCAGTGTTTGAACCTGTCCGTGTGTATTTTAACATTTTTCATGCACCACTCTGTCACAGTATTTAGTTTCCATCAGTTCACTTGTGTATTTGTTTATTTCCTCACCCCCACACTCGCCTCCCCTTTCTGTTTCTTTATAACCTAGTGAGCTTCCTTGTCTAGAACTATGTCCCTCACATGAGTTCCTCATCTCACTCACCTGTTCCCCATTCACTCCCTGCTTAGTTTCCTTTAATGAGCCTGCACCTTCATTCAGTTTATTGTGGGTTTGTTGGCTTAAGTCAGGGTGTCCAATCTAATCCAGGAAGGGCCAGTATGGGTGCTGGTTGTTGATACAGTGCAACACAAACACACCTGATTCTACTCATCAAGGTCTTGATTGAACGCCTTGATCAGTTAATAAGTGGAATCAGATGTGGCACTGGGCTAATACAAAAACCTGCATCCACATAGGCCCTTTACGGATAAGATTGGATGCCTCTGGCTTAAAGAGCTTAGGACATGCACTGAGCAAGTTTATGAATATAAAGGGGTACAATTAAAAGAATTCCTATCGTCTGCCTAAAAAAAATGTAGAAAATGACTTTTAACAAAAATCACAATTTTTTGTTACTTGCCCCGCCCCCCTTATTAACAAACATTCTGAGCAACACAGAAAAGCGATTCTGGCACTACCCTGTGTGGTCACGTCGTAAGTAGCACACGGTGGGCGATTGTGCGTCCAACAACATTGGCATCCGAGCCAGACTCCGATAGTTCCTCAAATTTTTCAATTTAATCTGTCCATTTTGATGAAGAAGAGTACTTTTTTATGGAGGATGAGGAAACTCAACATAAAGCTGCTTTCACACCGGACGCGAAACGAATTTTTTCGCACGACAGATTACATTCAAAGTCAATGCAAAGACGCGAATACGTTTCGCGTGTATTCGCGTCTTTGCATTTACTTTGAATGTTATCTGTTGTGCGAGAAAATTTGTTTTGCGTCCGGTGTGAAAGCAGCTTAACACGGGATTCAGAACCATAAAACCATATAGATTCCAGCCTGAGTACTCGAGCAATGAATACAGCTAATTGTCAGTGTCTCCGCCTGTGCCGAACTGTACAACGCTTATCAGCCAAGTAGTGGAATGATTATTATCCAGGTTCTACAATTGTTTCTGTGCACTGCGTGTTGGATAACCATCCTACTCACTTTTCAACCTTAAGTGAGGTCAATAGACCTGACGCTTGGTTACCTTAGCAAACAAGACCATAATATATTAGGCTACGTGGTGGTTGAACTCACGCCTGATCTAGCCAGTAGTGAAATGATAATGTTCGCGGCTCTAATCATTTCTGTGCACTGTTTCATGAGCTCTCGAAACAATGCGTCTGAGCCAGTCACGCATTCTCGCGCAGCTTGCTGTTATTAGCTAGTTAGCGAGCGAACACGCAGTGCTCAGAAATATAGAGCCGTGAATGATATCACAACATGTGTAAACCATATCTTGCAGCTTGATATTATTAGGTAGTAAGCTAGCAAGCACACTGCTCAGAAATAAAGAGCGCCGTG